ACCCCTCTATAAAAAATTCAAAAATGTACGAAGTCATTTGTTTTTTTTTTTATAGGTATAGGTAAAATTTATATTAATCTAAATTCAGGGTGTCTGAAGAGATCGCTTATAGCGAAAGGTCGCCCTGTGTTAAAATCTGTAAGTTTTGTTTTGTGAACCTAGTGTGAAATAAATAATGAATAGTTGAGGATTTATATAAGCTGTTTGGAGTCATTACGGAACTAAAATACACATGTAATATTCTTGATTGATGAAGGAAGGTTGTCTTCTCAATATGCAATATGCTTATAAAGCAAACAAACGCTACCCATTTCAAAAGTGTTACAGTATGGTTGAATTTTGTTAATGTTCGTCTGTATGCAAGGTGCGATCAACAGCAGTGTAGAAAGTAGATTGAATTGCTTATAATTCGTTTGAGATGTACGTTCCTTTACGTCGAATATGAAGCCGAGAAACACCAGATGCGCTTAAGTAAGAATTCAATTTGAATATGACGTTTTACTTTGTACTTTTTTCTTTTTGTTACCAAGTTATCTAAACACAGAGCTAATGCTAAATCGTAGATATCTTATAAAATCTGATAATGCGAAATTTGATAGTGCCACAGCACGGAACGGCTGTCGTTAAAGTTTCAATCTTTAATCGATTATTAATTAATAAAGACATGCGCAAACGCAAGACGCACCTAAGGCACATGACGGTCGCCAACGTTCAACGGGTTGTCAATAGTTTTGTTCCTAGACTAGGAGCGAGTGTGTATAACAAATAAGAACTAACTGCTTCTCTAAGTTACACTATAGTCTACTCAGTAGGCATTCGGCGAGATCCGAATGAAAAATGGGAACCGTTTCGCGTTATCTTATAGCTTTTGACGATGAGCTACCATTAAATGAGGCCAGTCCTTACCGCCAATATAATCAACGATATATTTAAAATGTGCATTGCACATATTTATTTACGTGGAATTGATATCTGTTGCATGCTAAGAAAAAAATTAGCTGATAGTTGCCTTTCGTCGTTTTCTCACCACCGGTAGTCCAACCTTAACGTTGAGCTTGCAAAAATTTGCATACGATCGAGCGTGGCGCGAAATTATCAGTACCGTTATGTCTGACACCAGTTTTTTGGGGAGTATTGTGGTATTTGGGTCACTCTTTGGGTTCGATAATGAGCTGGTATTCCGAAAATTTTGCGGTCAATTTTTATTTATAATGAAGGCACGGGTGTAAGTTATGAATACAATAGCTTTAGTGATGTTTGAGATTCGATTACCAGTTTGCCGACTCGTTGGTCTAATGGTAACTATATGTATCAACCAGGTCGGGGTTCGATCCCCACCAGGTCTAAAATGTTTCAAATTTATATTATTTCTGAAACATGCTGCTCATTGTCTGGACATCTAAATATTAAATGGGTGGTAGGAATCTAGAAATTCCGTTTGGGTCACGAACCACCGTCGCAGATGAAAAAGCCGTAAAGCTTAATCGCGTTGTGTCTTAAATCTGTGCTTTGAACCTTAATACGCAAGTATTAAGGTTGAAATTACATTGCGCGAGAGGTGCATGTGTCCATAAGTTTAAAAAAATCGACGATAAGGCGTAGGACTCGATAGCTCAATTGGTAAAGCAACAGATCGCTGACAATGCCGCTTCGTTATTTTAATTTAAAATCCTGCCGAACGAAAATATTTTCAATTTGCATGTCACATTAAAAATTATGGTTTTCAAGAATATACTACGACTTTACGCACCATGCTCGGTTAATAAAAAAATCCTCATCACGTTTCTCATAAGATGACAAGGTAGTTTTAAAATTTAATCCTTTCTCAGTTGGTGACAATTAAAACCTTCAAAGCATTATAATAATATAACGCAGTGTTAATATTTTGTAGACAAGTCATTTAATTTTCGTAAGCTTCCCAGTTACGTCTATGAAACTGCTCGCCTGCCAAGATATAAAAAAAATGCGAGCGTGTCGCCGCAAATGATAAAACTAAAATTCCGCATAAATTGATGGACAGGTAATAAGTGATTTTACGTCATGGCAAGTAGCTTTTTTTAGTAGAAAGATGTCATAAAACTTATTTACAATAAATAATATATTATATAAAATATAAAATGATTTCTTAAATTCATGATTTTAATTTTCGTTGCTAAGGACTTCTCTTAAAAAAAACTTTAAAATACTAAATAGGCACTAGTACATATGTAATTGTTTTTTTCTGCATTGAATTAATGTGCGAATAATGATTACTGTTTTTTAATTGTTTACTATTAAACTTCAAAGTCGCACAGGTTATCTACTTTGCATCCTCCTCTATATTATAAAGACGTATAAGTGTTTATAATATAAGTGTAAATACCTTCTTTCACTTATCTTATATCTATAATTGCTGTATTTTTGTGTGTACTGGGAATAAATGTTTTATTTTTTTATACAGATACTTAATATTGAATTATCTTTTCTCCTTATGTCAAAAAGGTTTCTACTCTCGCGTATTATTAGTTGAACAAATTATTTTAATATTTTGCAATATCACTAAAGAACACAGACAATAAGTGAAACTATTAGGTAATTACAAATTAGATATATAAGGCCCGAGTAAGGATGAATGTGGAAACTTTTTTTATTTACACGCATGCGCGGATGTTGCGCCATATATCAAAGTGTATGTAGCTACTAATATGGTTATTCACTTATTTTTTATAATGTTTACCTTATAAATAAACTTGCAATGTCTCGGTGAAATCAAAACTTATTGACTTTGATAAAAGCGATTGTTGTTTAATTGATTTTCGATTTATATACATTTTCATTTAATATACGTGTGTTAATTTGAACTACTTCGTAGAATAAAAAAATTTAAGACACTAGCGGTAAGTAAATTGATTAGAGCAACAGCAAGGAACGCTGTGGATGCTGGTTGAAGTTCCGCCAGTATCGTATGAATTTTCTATCTAAATAGATATTTAATTCCATCATGTGCAATAACATGTAAGAATTATTAGTGTTCGTTGTAAAATTTTAAGTAATTAAATATTTTTGAATGATAAGCCTAACTGAAAAGTTTCTCGATCCAGAGTCGGAATTCCTGTATGTATACATTTTCTTAGAGGAGTAGGTACAAATAAATGCCTCCTTGGCTCAATTGTTAGACGTAATACGCGTGAGTCTAAGTTAGTAATTCCGGGTAAAGAATATTTTATTTATTTATTTATCAGGAAAATTTCAATGGCATTACAGGGAGCCCAATTCAACACTGAACTTACAAACAGAAATATACAATTTTACCAAACATTTCAATTAAACTATGAGTAACTATATATAACTATTACATATCATTAGTTTCCTATTAGTAAATATTTTTTTTTTTTTTCAAAAACCAAAAGAAAAAAAAAAAAAAAAACACTGCACGAGCTTACTCCATGCGTCATAGGAAATGTCTTTTTGCCTATGAAGCAGTTTACCACCACTATTGCTCTTGTCCAGGACGCTTTACCTAACAGATTCGTTTTAACAAAGGACTTACGAAAAGGGTTGGGTTACGATGCCTTTTATGTTTGTACTGATATATAAGACTAATTCTTTCCAGCATTAGCATATTTGTTTCTTTTCCCCACAATATCCTTATAACATACGCTGCGAGAGACAACTCCGTATAACTCCTCACCGTATAACCCACAATACTCAGTAAGAACAGTGATTGGGTACATCAATGGATAATAGTTTCAATCTACCAAGGTAGAAGATGACCTACCGCTGTTTAACATTGCAACAAGCTCGAGAGGTTGTGGGTTCGAATCCCGTCAAACATAACACCTACCGTAAAATGCTACTGTATCTCTGTCGCAGTTATATTATATAAATGTTATTTTCCATGTCACGGCGTTAGGTGTTGATAACATAGTGGACATTCCTTTGCAATGTCGTGGTATAATTTGATATCAACGTTTTGAAATGTTGAAATCACCTCGGCGAAAATAATGCACGTCTTTTTTACAACGTTTTTGATTTATCATCTGTTGTAGAAAATATACCCATTTGCTTCATAAAGAACGGTATATTTCACGTTGAACAAGAACGGCCATTTTTCATTTGTTATACGTGTGTTCGTTCTTCTGATGACAAAGTATATGAAACGAATAGAATGCGTACTATACTAAAGCACGTTATAATTCCTTTTGGAAAATTATTACATACTAGCTGTGCCAGCGACTTCGTCCGCGAGAATCGTTATTTTGGGCATCCAAATCCTTGTCTTGTTCCTGCAAGCTAATCTTAAAAGATAGACATATAGCGTCGCGGATTTTTGTAGATCATTTAAAGAGGAATCATTCTTTCATACACATTTTTTAGTTATCTTGGACCGTTTTCGCATCGTGACGCAACTGAAATCCACAGAGATGAAAAATTTCCCCCGTTTTGTTCACTTTTCACGTTATATCTTCGCTTCTATTAGTCACAGCGCGTATTTTTTATAGCCTTCCTCGATAAATGTTCTAACCGACACAAAACGAATTTTTCTATTCGAACCCGTAGTTCCTGAGATTAGCGCGTTTTTTCCTATTCTCTACGGTCTATGGACTTCAGTATCCAATATCTTTTTTAAGAAATACATTTTCGAATTACCCTATAATGCTTATCAAACATATCTATTTAAAAGTGCACACGATTAAAGCCTTTTTGAGATGGCGTGTAGGACTCGGTAGCTCAATTGGTGAGAGCAACAGCACGGAAAGCTGTGGATGCCGGTTCGAGTCCTGCCCGGATCGTAATTTTTTTCAATTAATAATCGATTGTTAACTTTATTCAGAAAGCCAAATTATGCAAAACAACTAAAGAAATATATGCCTTAACTGCTCTAAAAGCGCAGTTCATTACTGAAACCATATAAATACCACAGATAATGCGTCAATAAAAATGCCAATAATAAAAATCTTGCGACGGTTAAAAGTGGAAAAGCATCGCCCTCGAGCGCCTCTGTCTCGTACTAAGACACGATGACAAGTGACGATCACATTGGACCTGGTATGCTTTGTTTGGCAGCTGTCCCTACTCTGGTAGATATTCCTCTAATATTTCATCAGCTATCATTATATTAGAAATCTAAAATTACTCCTTGGTATACGAACACGACGTCTATATTCTATACTAATAAAGCTGACGAGTTTGTTTGAACGTGCGTTTTAGGAACTACTCGTTTGGTATTGAAAAATGTTGGTCTTGGTTAGAGCATTTATCGAGGAAGACGTTAACAACGTTGAGAATGATAGGCGCGAAGAAACAGTGGAAATGTGGAAAAACGGGAAAAAATTATTATCTTTGGGTCAAGGAACCAAAAATATTATGTATGGAAGAATTATTTCTCGTTGGGTTGGTTATCTAAAAAAGAGGTCCGCGACAGTATATTATGTCTATTTTACGATTAATCTACAAGAACGACGCCCTGACGACGTGGAAAATTTTGATGCCTACCGTACTTAACTTATCCACGCGGACGAAATCGCGGGCGCAGCAGTATAATATAAACATATAATGCTGTGATTAGGTGAATGTTTGTGCAGATAAAACCTACGTAACTTGTATCTGTTCTTATCTTGGTCCTGCGACTTTTAAACCCGTGCTGGTAATATTATGTAAGCCTTTCAAATATTATTAATAACGATATACAATAACATATACTCATGAATAATTCGAGTCTTATCCGACACGTCGTATGATTAGATTAGATTTTAGTTTCATGGAATTATTATGTGTGACCCACGGATATTTTATTTTTTATGCTATGAGGCCGTTACAGGCAGAGTAGCCTAACTGCAATTTTATAACTTGAATTAGGGATTTATAGATTCATAGTCTAAAAAGGTTAATCTACAAGAGCACAGTCACCGAAAATTGTTAACATAATTCTTACATAAATAATAGTACAAATTCATTTTCGCCTAAGTTTTTATTTTCCTCCTTATTGATATTAGGCCACTCTGCCTCTAGCAGCCTAAATATATAATAACAAAGTCCTCTGCTATTAAACAAATATCGTTGACTTTCGACAGTAGTAATACATACGTATATTAGAGGCTATCTCGAACTTATTTGTTCTTTGATTCCATCTCTTTTCCGCATCAATTAAACAACACGCGATATCTTGAATGAAGTAGTAGTTCTTCAATGAACGCATGACTAGATTCACGAGCCGGTCAATACTTTGAGAATGTATTTTTAACCAGACTTATGATCTCTGTAACGCACACGATAAAAAACCATGCCTCACGTGTAATAGAGACCACTATTGTATCTCTCGGTAAAGTGATAGCATTTTGTTTTAGGATGTTTCCTGTTTACATGGTTTTTATTTCTTTGTTAGGTAAATAGGACCTGTTTCTGTGGTTTTGTCTTTGTTGTTTAACGTGTCAAGGAACTCTGGATAATGCACGTCAATTTGGGATCAGATTCACCTATTTGGGTTTTTTTACTGACCAGATATGAGGCTGCTAAAGGCAGAGGCTTATAGTAAAAGACATGATTTTCAATTGGGAGGCAAATAAAAAAGCGCAATTAACTTAGGCGAAAATTAGTTTAACTATTATTTGTGTAAAAATGATGTTAACAAATCGGTAATTGGGCTCTTGTAGATTTACACTTTTAGACTATGAAGAATAAATAAGGGTCATAAAAATTTCAGTTAGGCTACTCTACCTCTAGCGGCCTTATATTTGGCATATAATCTTGATTTTCTATTTTTTCGTTCAATGTGATGATTAATTCCAATGGTTTAGCAAATTAATAGATACTTTAAATATCTACCTAAGTTGATATATGATGATATAGCAGTCTATATATAGATTCCCACTGCTGAGATTCTAGCTAGAATGTTCGTCAAATGTCTGTTATAACTTATGTTATTTAATCAATTCGTGTTCGTATAACTTCAGCATTCATGTCATCGCAAAAATCGGAGACTGAACTAGCGGCCTAATAGTTATAACTTAGTACATGTAGTCACAACCTATTTAGGATTTCGCCTTATTATTATAATCAATAAACAATTTCATCCAAAGTTATCTGTTGTTCTCGTGTTTTATCTTATCTATTTTATGTTCCAGGTGATGTTAGGCGGGACGGTTGGAGCGGTCTCCCCGAGTGGTGAAGACCTGCTCACCGTCACCGTGGTGCGGGACGAGCACGGGTATGGGATGAAGGTTTCAGGTAAGACGCAGTCACCAATGTTAATACATAATTAGTGTGATAGTTTTAAAACTTTTTGTACTATATTGCAATTTGAACAGAGCCACTGACTCCCCGTGACCACGGCGGCTGCAAACCATCCGCAACGTCGGACCGTAGTTAACATAATTTTCAAATAAATAACCATGTATTATATATCGCGTTTCAAAAGGTTAAGGTGTTTTATTTAAATGTGTACTACTCAGGTAAATTACAGACAGTACCTATATTGCAATTCTAAAATTCTAAATAATGTCAATAATTATCAATTCATAAGCTTTTGGGTGCATTAAAAATTCATTGCGTTATGGATAAGTCCGTAAAATCCACAAGAAATTTGCCATTAAAATAAGTTCAATCAGTGATTATGTCAACCGCAAGCAACCGTATAACTGAATGTTCTCGTTTGGTAGCAATGTATGGGTAGTATCAACAGGTCGTGTGTTCGATCCCCACCGGGACCAACATGTTTCTAATGAATGTATATTGTCTCTGAAACATGTTGGACTTCATATGGATATTAAGACTGAACTGGAGAGTAAGTTAAGTGAACCCCGCGTTTGTACTCCTAACATAAAAAAATCGAATTATTTCTCCAGTCAAAAAACTAGTCTGCGAATGCGGTCTAATTGAAATTGGTGATACCACGACTCGATTCATTTCTGTCAAACGTTAATCGCACACATAAGATTAATGACGTGTAGAATTGGTGAGTGGCTGAGAATTGGGCCGAGTCGGCTGCAAAGGTCGGTGATTTAGTGCGTTTCGCTGTTAAATAGATTTCACGAAATCTCATCTTGAGAAATAATACCCCCTTTTTTATTTTTTAATCCATCGGTTTGCTTTAGCCTCGACCGACACCTTATCTCTTATTAAAAGTTATGTTAAAAGCTCTTACGACAGTTGGATACAGTGACAGCAATATTAAAATCTAAATAATAAAATCAAACAACATGAATACATAAAAAATGGGTATCAATTATTATATACATTTTGATACCCCATGGATGATACTTAGAGCGATAGTCAGAAATAATGAGGAAATACAATAAATATCTAACTAAAAAAAAATACATTTATAAATATTTTATTAAGGTTTGATACTCGAATTGTGTGCAGGCATATATCTTATAGAGCGAATTGTATGGGCAAATGTATAGTCAAACCCCTACACATACGTGTGGCATTGTTTGTCAATCTGAATAGATTTTTAATTTATGAAACATATTCCGTGGATAAACTTCCGGAAAGCGCATACCGCCGATCGATCTGAAATTTGGTATACTTATGTATTTTGACCGAAAATTGGCGCAAACGCCATTTCGAATATGAAAATCGAAAAAAAAAAACTTTTCTCGTTCAATTTAAATTTTGGATTATGACACCACACCCACGTCCACACACACGCACTCACACACATGATATTCGTGATTAGGAGGTCAAAATACGTAAGTGTAGCAAATTTCAGATCTATATGCGCTTTTCGGAAGAACACCCTTTTTTTGTTTCTCACTATAAGCTAGAGTATGCTGTAATTCAAGTTATCAATTAACTATGACGGTAGACCAAAATCCATACAAACATTCTTAGAATAGACATTTGCTTAACTGTTTGAACATTGTCTTATTGTCTGATGTATGTATTTCAGGTGACAATCCGGTGTATGTCCAATCTGTAAAGGAGCATGGAGCGGCGTGGCGCGCTGGTCTTCGGTCGGGGGGATAGGATATTGCGCGTGGATTCCATTCCTGTCCATCATCACACCCATCAACAGGTCGTACATATGATTAGAGGTTAGTAGTCTTTGTCTAGCACTCTAAGACTGTTATGTTAGTGTATTTTTCAAGACCTAAGTTTAAATCCTATCAAACAAGTTCAAAAGGATTTAAACTAAGTGTAGGGTTTGTGAATCGATAGAAATTAGACAAAAATGCGGTTTCAATTCTGCCATATCTTTATATTTTTTTCTACACTTATTTGTTTTTGATCAAATAACATCACATAAACTTGTCGAGATGTTACTTAATATGTATCATGCTATTAGTTATCGGTGTTAAAATTTATCCTAGTATTTTATACACTATTTTATGTGTATTTCCAGCAAATCCTACCACCGTGTTGACAGTACAACAGAGCTCCAGACACAAAACTCCAATAACAGCACCGGTACCAGTTAACGTAAGTATTTTTTGTCAAAATTCATTTATAAATCTCTAAAAGACATCAGCAAATCCCGTTTCACTTCTTTACATAAGACGAACATATTTCCGCGACCGTTTTACTGTTCGCTTTTATTACAACAAATAGACAAGTAGTGCCCTGCCGATCAAAATAATTTATCGTTTCCCCGGGATTCAAACCTCTCAAGGAACCAGGGCTTTTTACTGTTTTACGCTAAAAGTGGGTGGTATTTAAGAGGATTCGATTAACTTAATACATTTTCAGTTACAGACAGTATAAGCGGTGACAAAAAAAACACACGTAAATCACTATTTACTCATTTACTTTGTCCCCATTTTTCAAGCTAAGCGTTGGTGTGCCTTAAATTATAAGTCATAATGTTGCGAATTTTAATAACAAATAATAGAAGTTTCCAAATAAATTTTAACCGCTGCAACGCAGAAAGCCATTATGTACACAGGTGTCTACTAAGGCAAGGTTGCATGACATCAGTACAATTTATTTTCAAATCTATAAAGTTTGGTAAGAGACCTTGAGCGCTTTGATAATTTGATTTATGTGATATAACGTGTCGTTTTGACCTCACCGTTGCGTCATGACTGACTCATCAAAGTATTAAAACTTTCATATGAACTTACAAAAGTAACTATATACTGTTCTCATATTTATTTAGAGGTCCCGGTTTCAAACTCAAGTTCCGAAAGATTATTGCGTCACACACACACTCACACATATTTCTGCTGTACTCTGACAACTGTATCGTTACAAAAAAATATATTTATATACTAATTTACATATTGTCTTGGATTGTTTAGGGACTTTGTGTTCCTTCTCATATAACCCTTTAGGCAAAGCATGTCCCGGCAAACAGTGAGATTATCCCGAGATTTCATTTTTAGTATTTTACTTTTCAGCCGGAAAAGCAAAGACAGATTGAGAAAGAGAAGGCTGAAACAGTTCAGCTAATGTTAGAAAGAGAGCTCAAATACATAAGGGACCTGAGAAGTAAGTTTTGATCGAATTTCTTCTTCTAATAGCCTTTGTTAAATGTGAAATGTGAAAAAAAATGTATTGATGTTTTCGTATAAGGCCTCACTACAAGTATATAACTATTTTTTAGGGTAATCATTTAATTATGAACGCATTACGTACGAACAGCTTGAAAACCCAAAAAATCTGCATTAATAAATCTTCTAAATTCTAGACGAATTGCTCAAAGTGCCCGATGTCCGAAAACAAGCAGAGTTGGAGTCCGCAGAACAGCGCTGCTCAAAGTTGCAGCACAAAATAGACTCCATCATGGCTGGACAGGTAACTGTCACTTTGAACTTTATCATCGTAATTTAGATAGAGATAATAGATAACATTATACATTTCTTGTATAGCACTGGTCAGAGTGGTCAATTCGTACTTTAGTATTTGCAATTGTTCTTTGTTTTGCAGCCAAGCGTTTTTGTTTCTCATTTAGATCTCATTAAAGCGCTCTAAGCTCATTACTTTTGTTTTTGAGCTCGAAGCGATTAAGTTATTGCTAAAAATAATGTTTTAACTTGTGTTAACAGAGATAACACGGTAACGGGGTCAATAACCTCGCATTTGTGTATTGTCTGCTTCTGCGCATGTTTGTTTATTTTTGTGCAATGCAGGCTTCGAAATTGATTTTATCTAATGGATGCGTTTAACGCATAAAATTGTAATACATTTTTAATTCAACCACGGGAAGTTCAAATTGGCTCTTATCATCTTTTAGCAAACATTGCTCAAAAGCAGACATGATTCATTGAATATTAAAACCGTTTTGCCATACCGGTGCGGGTAAAAAACATTATTGGCAATTTATTTTCATGTTTAATTGCTATAACAGTGAGGATTTGAAATTGCTATACAAAACACAAAAATTGGTTTAATTTTACATAATACAATTAACATACGATTTCAAATCCTGGCTGCGCGCACGCGTGTCACAGCATAAACTAACTTTGTAGCCCGACGTCGTACCGATCGCGCCGTCGACGCCGCGCCTAGCACGGTCCAAAGACACCAACGACAAACCGACACCGAATACCGGTTTCCTAAGCGGTTTACCGAGATCGCTGAGCAATTTAACCGGACAGAGTCTCAGGAACCTGAGACAGGCGAGGCAGAACAAGTTCCAGCAGGAGAACCAACCGCCGTTGAACAGGCAGAACTCTGAAGACGGGAAGAAGAGGCACAATAATACAGTGCCGATGGTGCCTACCACTTGCTTGGATAACTCACCACCACCCTTACCACCGAGGTCGATAGAACGACCGAAAAGGAATCCCTTGACTCCGCCCATCACGACTACAGCGGATAGTATGAAACAAGGTATGCTCGGTTGACGTCCATATAATTTGAGGTTTGTCCTTCAGTCAAATAAATCAAATTATTTTGTTACTTTATATTTGCAAATAAAAACTTTATGTATAATAAGTTTATATTTCTAAATAAAAATGTAAAAAATATAAAGACAGTTCAAAGATAAAAATAAATGTTATTTGGCTTTAAATTTCCTTTTCTATTGAATATATCGGTCTTTTGTGTCTTGGATTATTATTTTCTAGTCGTATTTTTTGAAATCACATAAAAATAAACTTGTCAATGAACGACGTCATTTCGAGCATACCTCGTTTCAACAGTGAACCCCCTAGCAATGCCAAAACCGTCATACTACAAATACAACCCGTCGGTGTACCGCGAGGAGTTCCGAAGATCCTCCCACTCGCTGGACGGCGAGCTCGATGGACCGCAACCCAACTCGATAGCTTTGCAAATGAGCTATCCACTCGTTAATGTACCACCGCCGCCGTTGTTGGTAAGTTTGATCGATAGAGGTCAAAGCAGACATTGAACTAATAATATCAGAATTTGTATCATTTATAGATCATTGTATAAATATATGAAGCACACGCTTCTATTAACAAGTAACAGACAATTAAATATGATCAAACAAAGCAATAAAACAAGACAAAATAATAAATCTTTCTTTCTTATGAACACGTAGCGTAAACAAGAAAGAAATAACAATTACCGTTTGTAGTTTACGCGAGTAAACTACAGACATTTAAATAAGACAGTTTTACAGTTCAAAACGCGATATATATTAGTTAAACTTATTTGGAAATTATTTTAACTACGACGTTTCGGATGCTTTGCAGCAACCTGTCTCCGTGACCTGTGACCATGGCTTAGTAAAATAATTTTAACTAATATACATCGCGTTTTAAACCGTTAATGTTTTATTTCAAATGCGGTGATTAAAGAAAACACTATTCCATTGATGAGTGGACCATGATTCTTCTAGTATATTTATATCAATGATAGAAGATTATTTGGAGATTAAGTTGTTAAATATACGATATCTGCTTTAGCCTGTCAGTTAAAAAGGTATGTTTATAGTTCATACTATTGTTTTCAGGGCTTGTCACATTAAATCTTACTTATAGTTTCATCTAGTGATAGTATTAGGTATGCATAAATGGCAGTCTTATGCTCGATATACCTTCATAGCTGTATCCCACTATATTTTCATACATTATGATTCTATTCGAAATAGTATAGTTAAGTGTAAACTGCCATTAGTGTTACTTTGATGTTGTTATCTCGCATTCTCTCGGCTATCTGTCAGCTATGCTTCTTATAGATAATTTAGTGCTTATTTCATCTTGAGCTAAAACAATGTCTTTCAATAACTTAAAAGAAATATTTTTAATGTATTTAAATTATTTTGAGAGCATTTCATAACATTTTAACTTTTTACTAGTCTTTCTCTTTCCAACTAACTGAAAGCATGGTCATCTATGTACAGGTTTAATAAATAGATAATGGAGAATACTTGGACCAAGTTATATAATTATATGTTGTTATATAGATGGTCATAATAAATAAAATCTTCTTTATTTTGTATATTATGCATTTCAGAACGACAACCGAAATAGTGTGCCAGTGATGCATGTAAGAAGTCAGTCTTCACCAGAGCATTTAGACCACGAGTTACCGAGATGTAAGTAATTGGCTAATCAATAGTAAATACTACTTACTATATAAAATTTATTCGCTTTGACCTCTTGAATAATGTAAATTAATTTTTAGCGAGCGGTGTAATTGAAAAGGAGGCGTGGTCTCGAGGGACTCCACCCCCCGGCACGCCCCCGCCACCATATCCACATTCCACACAAGTAAGTGTAGCACCAATAATTTGAATAGAATAAGGGCTTATTTGATGTTGATTTTTACTCATCTTATAATTTCAGCCATGTTCGGACCCCCAGAGAGCGATAATCTCAATGGAAGAAGACGACTCGCCGACATCAGTAAGTTAAATCTTATTTTCTTTTTTGTTTCTTAAAAACGAGCCTTTATTATTTCATATTAAAAATCATTTAGACATATTCCATTCCCGATCTAATTCAGGATAAAATGTAAATAAATGCTTTAGTTTATTTGTAAGGTATATAACATTCGCATAATTTCAGGACAATATGACGTACGCCGGTTTATTCTCAAATTTGCGTACTGTGAGAGAATCGAAGCCTAGAATGGCTGTACTTATCAACTGGCTGCTTGGTGAAAGACGGTAAGAAGTTATTTTAACTTTGTTTCGATATGTTTTAGAAAGTTAATTGTTAACTTAGTATCTGCATCGGATTTAAATCCTATTAAACCATGACCGTTTACTATAAGTGTTTTAAATCGTCAAACTTATTATAGACATAAATTATTCACATTTTTTATAATAGAAAAGAATAAATAAGAGTAGGGTTTACTTAACATCTGATGAAAGAGATGTGATGTTGATCTATTTTGGCGTTGCATATTTGGAAATCCACATACTACGTCTTTATGTTTTTTAGATAGTTATTTGTGAATTGAATATTCAGATTTCCGGGCGAAATCTAACATGTTTCTGTGAATACATATTTTTTAGAAACATGTTGACACGGTGGGGATTAACGACCCGTTGATTAAAGACATATTTTTGCTCCATTACTCCAACAAACCCGTAGACACATGGGTTAAAGTTTACATTATCAAATAAATATTTTTTTTGTAGATGCGCATGCGCAAGTCTGTTGTTGGTGTTGACGGATGCGTACCGCGCGGCCGGTGGAGTGGGCGCTTCGACGCTACGACGCTGGGCATATGAAATACATTCCGTCTTTCTTATGCCAAGCGCGGTAAGTGTATTCGATTTAATGTTAGGAAAAATATACATTCGTTATCTTCCCTTTAATAACATTTATCTTTCAAGGTTCTACACTTAAATGGTGTTGATGAGAACATGGCCAATGAAATCGAACACGTGTTAGTAAATGGTAAGCCACTTTACAAGTTTTATGCTACTTCAGAATACACATAACTACAACTAACTAGCGACTACTAACGACCCTCGCTTTCGCTTTAGTGCAAATCTGATACTTAATACTCTACAGAAAAACTGTGAACGTTGTATATAAACCTTCCCCTTGAATCATTTTATCTATTTGAAAAAACCGCATCGAAATCCGTTGCTTAGTTTTAAACATTTAAGCGTACATTGGGACAGAATGTAGTGATATTAAAACGGAAACTTTCAACCAGTGAGTTATAATTCGTACTTAATCCGACCGATTGAGACCTTACCCACTTTGAATTTACCAGAATACGAAAAAGAGGAGATCTTACGAAACGTGTTTCGCAAAGCGAGACGGCAAGCGAAAGACGAGTTGGCGCGGCAACTGAGCGAGTTTCAAGTGAAGAGGCAACTGGGCCTGGCTACACTGTACGGGCCTGACGATAATACGTTGCAGTTGTGTGATGTGGATAAGTCACAGGTATTTATGATTTTATAAATGTAGAGGTGTGTTTGTCTTTCAAGAGGCTATAGATCACACGAAAGTGTTAGATATTGCCACCTAGATAATTGCAAGGCAAGTTTCCAATATTCGTTGCCTACGTAGTCTACGGTTTTAAATATTAAAGATATCGAATTGCAAGGTTTAACCCGATAACCGTATTATTTTTGTTGGTTAAAGTAAGTTTGTCTAATCTACACTAATATTATAAAGCTAAAGAATTTGTTTGTTTGAACGCGCTAATCTCAGGTTCTAATTCAACATTTTCCTTTGGTTTTGGTTGGTCCATTTATCGAGGAATGTTTTAAACTACAACATTAGGCTGCAGCAAATAGTGGGCAAATAGTAGGAAATGTAAAAAATGGCTTAATATCAAGTTTTACGTTATGTGCGCCGGTGTGATGCCCAAAAATATGTATATAAGAATTATTCTTCTTTAAATAATTTAAAAAAATGTTCGCAATGGTAAATGTACATTTTAAGTCCAAATCACGAAAACCTGTTTTTATGTTAATCGAATTCGGAATATAGTTCTACATCAAACATTAGTAGGGTTATACTTTGTCTAAGCATTGACCTTTTTGCAGGAAGTTGTAGTGGTGGAACGTATAATGTGTCAGCGGTTACGCGCTGTCGCTCAGGGAGGGCCGTGCGGTCCGTGCGGTTCGAGCGTAGCGGGGAGCGGAAACGCTGCGGGTTCGCCCGAAGCACATTCCGCGCTGTTGGCCGCTCTGGTGGCCGCTGCGCTTTGCTTGCACTGTCGGTGAGTAGATCTTATATAATAATACAACATATACTAGCAAGTCGAGAAAGTACGCCGTAAAGTCTCCTTCGTTATAAATAGACCGACCTCGTATAGGGTTGTTGACTGTAATCATAAATAAATATTAATTAGTAAAAAAATAATACTCAAATTTGTTAAGTCCACTAAAAGTTTACTCAATCTCAAAAAGTCGTGACGTCATTATTAGTAAATTTTTTTAAACATACTTTTGGGGCTTTACAAATAAATCTATAGTTATATATAAAGCTGAAGAATTTGTTTGTATGTTTGAACGCGCTAATCTCAGGAAGTACGGGTTCAAATTGTAAGATTATTTTGTGTCGGTTAGAGCGTTATATGTTAAATAATGTGGCCGAGTAAATATATTTACACACTCTTCGTCATAAATAGATTAGCACTGATTATTATTATCAACATAAGATTACGAAATTATCTTTGTTACTACTAAACTAGTCATCGATCTTTGTTTTTGACAACTTTGACTTAGTTTTCCTAAAAAAATGGTACGGATCGGTCGCGTCACCTTCTGCGTTTATGAATAAGAAACCAAAGACTTAGATACAGATCAATAAATTACAAAAAAGTGAGGGTAGTTGCAAAATTTATTTAAATTGCAGTTGTTACGTTGCTATTTAATAAACTGACACAGCTGTTCAACATCGTTATTGTATTTTGTACTTTTGTAATTAACAATTACCGTTTATGTTAATACAGTTGCGAAATTCCTTCAGTACAAGGAAAATTGCCTTGATTTTATTAGTAAGCAGTTTTCCTGTACAGAAACAATGTGATAGAAAATGTTAGTTTGGTTTGACGTGGATTGGTGAAAAATACTTAAATAATATTGAAATTGGCAGTTCTATTTTGATATACACGAAATGGTGTAATTAACTTATAGTGTAAATCTACTTACATTTGTGACGAAGTGTTTCATTTTTATAAAAAATGGTGAACGTTGATTTAAGTGAAGTGAATGCTAGAGAGATTAGGAGACGTTGGTGGCAATCACCTAAAAGTAAAAAGAAGAAGCAAGCCAAGTAAGATTTAGCGTTTATATTTGTAGACTTGTTTTAAGCAAGAATTGGGAGTTATTGGCTTAATAACTAATGGTGTGAATGCATAGTGCATGCCCAGTCTCGCGTCGGGCAGTAGTGACGTGGAGAGTGCGTTAGAACATACTGCACCTTCGGAGACCCAAACCGACCAGCACCACTAAATGTACCACCAGCTCGTTACGGTGCTTTCGAGGAAGTCCCGGGATCATGTTTGTACGACTCTAAATCTTCTAGAGAAGTATAATTCTCCTAGTATATCTCCCATGGACTTCATATCTTACATATAAGGTAATTACAATTTAAATGTACATATATCTGTTTTAGACCGGCGTCTGTGGCCGCGGCAGTCGGTGGCTCCCGGCCTTCATTTCTTCAACGTGACAAGTTGTACAAGCAGAGGCTCAAACAGCTGACCAAACAGCATCCACAACCGGTTCGTACGATTTTTTTATATAATCATCAAGTTGGTATATCTATACTAATATATAAAGCTGAAGAGTTTGTTTGTTTGTTTGGACGCGCTAATCTCAGGAACTACGGGGTCGAATTGATATATTTGTGTTGGTTAGAGCATTCATCGAGAAAGCTATAAAACTTTGCGTAACTAATAGAAGCGAAGATACAGCGTGAAAAGTGAACAAAGCGGGGGAAGTCTTTCATCTCTGTGGGTTACAGTTGCGTACGCTGCGAAAACGGTTTAACATAACTAAAAAAATTGTATCAAAGTATTATTCTTCTTTAAATAATCTAAAAAAAAATCCGCGACGCTATATGTCTATCTTTTAAGATTGTCTTACAAGAACGACGGAAAGGGACGCAATCGACGTCTTGGCTAACAGCTTAAGTTTATAAACATGACGGGGTTTGCGAAACCTTATTTGGATGCCCAAAATAACGGTTCTCGCGGATGAAGTCGCTGGCACAGCTAGTTTACAATATTTTTTAAGTATACGGTCTTTCAATTAATATACTTGGTAAAGAAAAACATCGAAAAATATAACCTATATTGAGTCAACTGCTAAATTAATCCTATCCCTAGTAAGAAGGGGTACCCCGACTGGGGACAGTAAAATAAACATAATATTGGGTCTTCTTTAAATATAAGGTATATGTAATAAGAAATACATATAGTTTAAACTTATGTGTTAAAAGGAAAAATGGTAGTGTTGGTTCACCAAATAAACCTAACCAATGTTATGTTATGTTTGTCCAATTTAGATTGTTATTAAAAATTAGCATCAGCAGTATGTATAACTGATATTTAAAACTTTTATTTATTTAGGTGGTTGTATGTTTGTTTTCTTTTTAGTTTGTAGTCCGCGGCCATCATTTGCAGTTGCGTGCACTAACTTCAGTGGCTGACTGCCATCACTGTGATATGACGATAGGGGGGCTCGCGCCACAAGCTGTGGTGTGCACAGGTATATATAGCTCCTAGATTATAATGCGATTGTCAAACATGAAACTTGTGTGATTTTGCAGTATTGCGAAGCAGTTGAAAGGTTAATTTAAATAAAACACTTTTTAACTGTTTAAATCGGGAAATGTATGAGTTGAACTGTTTTACTTATTATTTTTAACCAAGGTACCACGTTTCGGCCAGCAGCCGCGGTCACGGGGGACAATAAGAACCGGGTCATAGTTAGCATAAAATGTAACCTTGTTTAACTAATACATTTCGTGTTTTAACTGTTAAAACGTGTTTTTAATGTGTATTACTCGCGTAAATTACAGATTAAGTCTTAGAAGGTAATTCTTATTAACTAAGTGACTTAAGATTGTATATCACAAACTATGTCGGTTTAGATCATATAAAAGTTTCTCGATCAGACAGGGCAAAGAAGTTTTATTACTTACTTGCCTGTAGGCAAGATTGTTAAGTGAAAATATATCTGCCTCTATGAGTTAGATATAGATACTTAGAAGTGAGAACTCAAACACTCTCTCAATGTTTGTTTATAATATATTTTTCTTATTTAAACAGATTGCAACTTGCGCTTGCACCGCGAATGCGTCCGCAAAGTGGAGGAGGGATGCTGCTTAGACGGAGAACATCATAACAACCGGATATCACGATTTATGGAACGGATACATCCGAATAATATGCCCGGTACTTCATTAAATCAATTTATCACCTCTACAATGTTTACTTTGCTTAAATGCATTCAGGACGGGCTCGTTGGTCGAATGGTAGCAATGTATGGCTGATGATCAATGGGTCGTGGGTACGATCCACACCGGCTCCAACATGTTAAATGAGGGGGGGGGGGAATATAGAAACTCCGCCCGGGTCACGAACCACCGTCCACAGATGAAAATATCCAAAGCCAAAGCAGGTTGACAGCGCATCTTGTTAGATGCTATACGCAGGGTTATATCATGTGAACCTTATGCCATGTCTGTCCCCCTCTATTATAAAAAAAGATCCAATTTATTAACTTTTAAATAAGCCTATGTAAGAATGAAAGAAGATGTCTAGAAGAGTCAACTACACAAAAGACTAATGTTATTTTAAATCAATTCAGCAGATGGACGTATTAAAAAAGTATTTACTGGCTTATTTAATAATATTTCATTAAATAAAAACCTAAATAAGATTGAAAAATTTTACGACACGGGCGGGACTTAAACGTTCCGTGCTGTTGCTCTAATCACTTGAGCTTTTGTTCTCTTTTTATTAACATAATTTAGAGCTTATGATCGTTATTTTTATATAAGTTTCAACTGATATAACCGTTTGTTTTAGGTCAAGATTCCAACGACAGAAAGTCGCGGAAGTCATCGGGAACGGCGAATTTTCTCAATAGTTAGTATTCTTTGTTTTTATACTAATGTTATGATTTTTATACACTTTGTATATTCAAACACGTGGTTAATGTATAGGTTATAATCAAAGGAATTTAGATTGGTATCTTGTTTAACTGTTACTGGATATGAAACTAATATTAAACGGGTGTTAGGAATATATGAAATATTATCTGGGGCCACAGATGGATGAGCCTTACCCCGTGCTTGTATGTCTTCTACTGTCATAAAAAAAACCTTCCCAGTCACTTAATAAGCAATAAGTACATTTTTTACTTTTGTATTAAAGCTAAGCATGTCATTTTAGTTTTTAGGTCATAAAATACCTTATAATTATATCCGTACATGCCCTAATATATTTAATTTTTCTTTTTAATAGTGGAACGGAGTTTTCGCAAAATGGAGGACGAGCCAACCTGGGATCAGACTCTCACACCGGTACACAATCAAGGTAAGTGTTGTTTTTCATACAAGTTTCCAAGAGATGAGAAGTGAATCTCCTCCACAAGCCGTATAGAAATCGTCAATTCACATACAAAACCAAAATCTATAACACAATTTAAAAAATGTATATAAGGAACAAGAACAAGAAAGTAATAACAATAATTCAGAATTATTTTAATATAGCCAAAAACTTTATAAGACATAGCAAAGCTAATATTTCAAATCGTATGCAAAAAAATCATTTGAAACTCATTTGATGAACATATAAGTCTATTGATTCTTATACAATATGTAATCTTGGTTTTGTATATTGCCTACTCAAATATTTATCTGTCTTATATTTATTTTGCTATAATAGACGGTACTGGTATTGGCGATCTATATCGGGATATTTTCCGTATTCGCAACGTTCGACGATGCGAACGATATTTCGCAAAGTAATTGACGTTTCTAAACATGTTGTCAATTAACATTTGCCCTTCATGATGTAAATATGACAAGCGTTTGGGACACATCCAGTCGCTCTATATCCGTGAAGTGGGCGACCGAAATACCTTGACCTTTAATAATTATTTTTGTTTACGCGAATTGTTTGAGGGTGAAATGTCGGATATTATTGACGGGAACGTCGTGCCTTCGTTTCGGTTTTGTGGCTAGATGTGTTTGATCTCCTTGATAAGGGTAACCTATTAACAAAGCGAACCTAGTAGCTATATATAAAATATAACTAATTTTTATGTTGAATTTAAAATCGATAATGAATCGATGAAAAAAGCTACGACTCAGGCAGGACTTGAACCGGCATTCTCAACGTGTCGTGCTGTTGCTCTAACCAATTGAACTACCGAATCCTATTGTCATCGAGACATCGAGTCATCGTCGAATTTTTTCAACCCATCGATACGTGCACCTCTCGCGATTTTTAATTCATATAGTGCTATCATTTGCTATGACGTAAAAATTTAAAATAGGCAGTCTTTCCACAAATTAAAATAATAAAATGATGTGACTTGTTGAAATTTAAGTTTATTTAAATCAGTGGTATCGTATTAACGTTAAAAGTACATAGATATCATTATAAATACTATATATATAAACTTTTAATAAAAAAAAAAACAAATTTGTTACAACTGTTTCCTTGTTATAACGTGTTTCATATGTCCACTTCACCTCTAACAAGACATGTTATATTTCTTACATTGTGGATAATCGTGCTTTTGGTTGTCGGTGGGAGGTCAAGTTCTACTGGTACGGTCACTAGTATAAATAGGTTTTTAATTGTTCCCGAAGCGTTTCTGACGCTTTCTGACAGCGCTTATTTCATTTCTACGCACATTGGAATGTGTGTGTTATAAAGAAAAGATTTTTGTGGTTTACTTTAAGAACAAATAAAGAATGCATTTAAAGACTTATTGACAATAACACATATCTAACGTTATACAACATATTTGTATAACGATTACACCATAACGAAAAGAGTCCTTCATCTTTGGCTTTTTTATTATCCAGTCTATCGAATAACGTTTTGTATCAGCCGTTTTTATTCCTTAGTGAATTGTAAAGAACTGGGTCTTTACAATTCATATTATAAAAATAAAACACTTTAACGCATCAAAACGCTTAGCTAACTAAAGCGTTTTAAAGTGTTGTATTTTAAAGCTTTTTATTAAAAGAAAATATGTATATATAATATTTTGAATGACCCATCACTCTTCTGGAATTTAAAGCAATTTGTCACTCTAATCTGCCCGTATTCGCCTGCCGAAACCTACCGTGAGCTTTTCACGAAACTTTCAGGCTGAAAGTAGTTGACGCGTCGACTTCGCGCCGGTCGGACCACTGTGTCCCTGTGGTATCGGTTTGTTTGTGTGTGTGTATGTGTTACGGTCTGCGAAGTTTGTTGAGGGGCTAATGTATAGGCATTTGAATATTGGAAGTGATAATTTGCACTGGTAAATTTTTTGTTGTTGTTTTATAGCCTCAAATAAACAAGAATTTTCTGTAATTGTATGTAGCTATTCTTTGCGATTTTTTACATATGTTTTATTTATATTTATAACTTGTAAGGCTTTTGAAAGCAATAAATTGAAGTACCTAGTCACATAGGGTAACATCATCGATCAAATAAAGCCAATATAGTTTGCTACTGTCTAACATCCTAACGTGTACCATTATACGTTGGTTTTCACAAATGCATTTTATTAAATAATCAAAAATATTTTTTTGTCTTATATACTACGAAGTTATCTTGCCGGTCATAACCAATTTTTATTCTAGGCACGCCCCTAAGTAATTACCTATAAATGGGCTTATAAAGTTTACAGGCGACCTCCGAAGATCGTCAAAGCTTAACTGGGACTTGTTTCAAAATGAGATCTTGATCAGAAATATATATCTTTTTTTAAGGATATAGGAGGACAGACATGGCACGGGGTTCACTCGATGGTAGGTTATACCCCAGCCTATAGCATATAACAATATGCGAGGTTTACCTATTTTGGCTTGGGATCTTCGGAGTAAAACCGAAGCACGATTAAGTGGACGGTGGATATAATTCGTCATCATTCCTTTAATGCTTAAATGATACCGAACTGAATCGTGTTTTCAAATCTAATTAATTTTTCCTATAATATTGTAACTGTAAGACTATCACATTATTTTGGTCTATCTACGATTTCTTAATACATACGATTGAAGAAAATTTAAAGTTCGATGGAAAAATCATTATTGTGCGTGGAAAAAATATTTTTCACACAAACAGATGACTTCACATAGCACAAGCAGAGTACAAATTACGTAGTCGTTAAATATTATAATTAGCGTATTACTCACGTCTGTCTGTGCCGCTGCGACTAGTGACTACGTTCATTGTCGTCCGGAAGACGTCTTGTATTTATACGCAACGCCGCGGTCAACTAGCTAGCTTTGAACATGCTAATCTTTCTCCTTTTGAGTTCTTATTAGTCTAAAACATTCCCATTTCACTTATTATATAGACTTATAATTCTGCGGTAAACTAAAAGGTTTTAAAGAAACTATTAAAGGAATAAAATAGTATAAAACTCATTAATGATCGAAAATAAATTTCGACTCGGCCTGTCCCACTTACACCGGCATCATCAGCATTTAATCTATATCTTGATATGTGACATCAAGTGCCATAACATGTAAAAAAATTATTAAAGCTTTTAATTGTGTAAAATTGTATATCGATTTTAAATTAAAAATAATCATGACACGTCCAGGACTTGAACCAGCATCCACAGGGTTCTGTGTTGTTCATCTAACCAATTGAGCTACCGTGTCCTACACGTCATCGTCGAATTATTTCAACCTATTAATACTTGCAGCTCTCGCGCATTGCAATTTCTACCGTACTGATAAAAATTGTAGTGGTCTGTTATATCACTGTATATTCATGTATCAATTTTATTTCACACAAATTTCGTGTCCTTCTAGATTACTTTTATGTTTTCCCGGGATAGAACCAAAAATGTCTCTCAAGCAAAACAAATTCGTAATTCAAATTTTTGCTATTAAAATGTTTATTGTTATCTGAAAGTGCGTCCACTTACCGGCTTCTTACTACAGCTTCAAGAGTTCTGTTGATAAACAAATGTGGCCTATAATCATGCGTGAATCGCCATAGTAGCATCATGAGTAAGGCGTGCTTTCTATTGCTTAATGACGTGAGGTAGGGTGTGGCCAACCTTCCTCGAGGACACTTGCTGTTTGGTACCGTGCTCCGATAACGAAGTAGGTACAGCATCGAGGAAGCTTGTCACTAAAACACACTAGGTATAGAAGCTTTCAAATAATAAATATTATGCCATATTTTAATTAAACACTTTAACGGTTTAAAACGAAATATTTTTATTAAAAATAAATGAAATGTGGCCCGAAGTTTCGGATGCTTTACAGTAGCCGTTGTCACGGATAAAGATGAAGGGTGTCTCTGATGTTAAAGTAAAAACGTAACGTCGGGTCGCTGTTAAAATAACTTTCAAATAAGTTTTACTTATATATATCGTTAAATGCGTTAAAGAAAATTAAACAATTTGATTTACTAAAATATAGAATAATAAGCGTAACGACCTAAAGTAGGTAATCACTCTTTGATCATGTTTTTACTGGCGTTGTTTGTACCGACTTACGTCATCTGCCTATCTATTTGATCGACTTTATACTCAAAACAAATGGATTTTATGTCGTCCGTTAAGATTGACGTGTTGCGAATTTCTTTTAATCGCCATTGCACCATTAAACTTTGTTTATGTTTGAGAAGGCGTTAGCTAATTGTTACACACGGTACTGTTTGCTGTTACTATGAGTGTTACTTAGAAAGGAAGCTAATTCACTAGCTATGTTCCTTAACCTAACTCGAAACTTCCGACCCCAGCCCAAAGGGGGGAATTTTTTTTTTTTTTTTTTTTTTTTCCCCCCCCTTTTTTTTTCCCCCCCCCCCCGGGGCTAAAGCCTGGTACGAATACTGGACTATTGCCATTTCGGAGACCCGAGATTCAAACCTGGAACCGCGTAATGTGCATTAAGTTATAATAACCACTAGATCAATAACACATAACGTGACATCAGTATTTATTTTATGCCGGAGTCAAACTTGACTTCATTTTACTAATTATTAAACTATTAATATACACAATTTATCTGTCTGCCAGTGGTATCTCATCCTGCCGATACTGAATGTTCGCTGACATTTCACCCAAATGTCACTGAGTTCTCTGGAATATTGTGTTTTAATCTTCTTAAATTATTTTCTACAGCATCTAATTTTACTTGTATAACTTCTTAAGCTGATTATCGTTTTTTACCTCAAGTATTAACTTCCTTGTCAATTGCAGTTTAAAATTTACTTACTTAGTAATGCAATGTTAAACTCACATAAATTCAGTCAAACTAATGAGATACATAAAAGCTTTGATGCGACTTACATACTGTAGCGTTTCTTAAAACTAATAATTATCTAGCGACAAAGCATGCATTCTTTCGTTATTACTAATTATTGTTAAAGGCTCGTTGATACAGAAAAAGAA